CGCTCTTCCAGCCTCGCTCGCCCCTGGCGTGGGCGTGCCGCCCCACCGGGGGCCTCTAAAGGATGCTGGGAAGTTCCTCCCTGACCGAGGCCATGGCCAGCCATGGCCGCTCGGCCCCCAACGTGAGAGCTGACGGGATGTCACAAGGAGTTGGTCAAACTGACAACTGACCAAATGCAACACCCAGAGAGACAACAGATGCCATGCACCAGAGGACAGAACGCAACAGAAAGTGCCACAGGCACACGCACGCCTGCAACGGACCGACTCTCTGCAGCCAACTGCCAGCTCACGGGAAACGCAGACTAAGACTTAAAGAGACAAATCGCTCAGACAGAATGTGAGAATCCGGGTTAGGCCGATTTCATGGTTTTTAAAAAACCGAAGATCTGGAGATTGGAGCCCTGACTCAGCCAGTGTCCACCATGTTGATGAGTTTTGGGGAGTGATTTTAAATCGCTAGGGGCTTTCTGTTGCGATGCTGGGATTTGGGATGGTTGCTTTGAAGAGTCACGTTTTAGAGACAGGCTTCAAGACGACCCGCCAGGGAAGGGGCGGGGAGGAGAGGCGCAGGGCTGGCAACTGTCGAAGCCAGGTGCGGGGCACAGGGGCCTCGCGCTGCCCTCCGAACTTCCATGCCGTTTGGCATTTTCCAAAGCAGAAAAACAGGTTAGTGGCACATGTGGAAGGCACAGGACGCGGAAGGCGCCCCGCGTGTTTGCTAGACCGTTCAGGAGGAAGACGGGACGAGTGCTGGACACGGAGGCGTGACCAGGGTCACGGGAACAGGCCCCGCAGACCGGGGAGTCGCGTGGGGGTGGGCAGGGAGCAGGGAAGGGCCTGGAAGGACGATGGCCAGGAGGGCGACTCCTGCCCATGGAGCACCGCCCGCTGCGCCGCGCCGGCTGGAACCCTGTCCGCGTCCTCGCCCACCCGCACGGGACCCAAAAGGAGGCTGCGACGCACTCAGACCAACGGTGCCGCGGTGCCAGCAGAGACCTGGACACGCGCAGCTCCAAAAGCTGTGTTCGAAATACGCTATAAAAGCTAAAGCTAAATTACTCCCCACGACAGGATGAGGAACAGTTCTGCCTGAGCTGGCCCGCTCCCTGCGCGCCGGACTACGGGACTTTGAACAAAAACACTGCGTTACCACGGAAACGTGCACACGGCCTAGGGCTATGAATGGAACCGCGATTGTTAGGTGTGAGATGTGATTCACGCTGTTCAGAGGCTCTTCCCTTCGGCAGCTCCGATGTGCTTTGCGCTTGTTACACTTTCCCCTGGAGAAGGCAAGCGGCCGGGGACAGCATGAGCACGAGCACGAGCACGGTCCCGGCGCGCCTGCCTCACTGTCCTCGGCAGCCCAGGACGAACCTCCTCGGGCACCCACACACCACCTTACAACACCGCAGCTTCGTCTCAACCCCCTCCGACTTCGGTGTCACAGCGGAACGTGATGGCGGGACGGGGCCGAAGCCCTGCTCCCAGCTCGGCTCGTCGCGCCCCCTCTCCCCTCCGAGGCGCGTGGCTTTCTGGCGTGCCTCTGCTCACTTGACAACGGCGCCCGTTACTATAAATCAAAGTCGCTGCCCCGCCGGGCAGCCGCAGCCACCGGGTGGAGCCTGAAGCAGCAGTTTCCTGCGATGAGTCATCACTGAGTCACCAGAAGTGTCGTTTGCACAACCACCTCACACCTTCCATGCCAGTCCGGCCACAGCACACGATCAAGTTTACAGGCGTTTTCTCTTTCAAAATATAACATCAGACTGCAGGTCCCATGTAGCTCCCATCCACTCAACGGCACTGAGAAGTGACAGGGCAGCACCATGACAGCACACGCGCACACGCTCACCTGAGTGCGTATGTGTAGCCAGTGTTCTCGGGCACACACTGCGGCGGCGTGTACATGTGGAGCCGAGAAAAGTCCATGTTCGCGACGTCAAATCATACTGCAGGAGGAGAAGCAATGCGGGGAGGCAGAGGTTAGAAGTGCAGACACGTCCCCTGCTGCGGCCAGCCTGCCACGCACCCACGCCGGCCGCACGCCACCGCCACCGCCACAACTCGGACACAGCCAGGAGCAGCAGCTTCTTGTTCTTCACTTTGGAAACAAAGGGGAGAAGTGTTCTCATAGTTACGAGTCCAGGGACACCCCTGACACATTTAGTTCCCTAAAATGCTACGCCCATAAAAGCAGCAAGGGGAAATCCTAGGTCGACTGGCTCACAACTGTGGAATCTGGGGCACTTTCAAAACATGAGAGTAACTGAGAACCCTTTGAAATATGTTTTGAAATTCCCAGAAGTGTCAAACGTTCTCAATCTCCTGAAATAAGTTTTCATTGTTATTAATTAAAATAAAACCAATTCTTACTCCACGGCCGAGAAGCACTGACGCCCCTTCCCAGACAGCCGAGGTTCTCTCGCGCCTCTGAACGTGAAAACTGCGTGGTGAACAGCAAAGGAGCTTAAGGCGCTGTTCGTACTTCTGTTTTTCCCCGAAAGAAAACACAGATTACTTTTAAATTAAAAAGTGTTAAGCATACTGTTTTTCAGGTTGTCATCTAGATTTTTTTGAAATGACTCAAATTTTCCACTGGCTAAAAATATCCTCCCTCTCACACACTGACACACTCCCTCTCTAAGTGAAACAAAACAAGAACGAAAAACAAACACGCTCATAGTAGCAATGTGAATCACAATCTGTTATTAAATAATCTAAGGAACATAGAACTAAAAATAAAGACCATCCTGGACAAAAAATATTTATGTATAAACGATTGATTTCCACAGAAACAGAACAATCTTAAAATTTGTATGAAACCGTAAAAGAGAAAGAAAGAACAAAGTGGGAGGCATTGCACTCCTGATTTCAAACCACATAAAAACGCTAATGTAATTAAAATAGCATGGGATCGGTGTGAAACCACAGACACACAGATTAATGGACAACCTGGAAAAACCCCACCATATATGGTCAATTAACTTAGGACAAAGAAGGCAAGAATAGATGATGGGAAAGGACAGTTTCTTCAATAAAGGGTGTCGAAAAACTGGAAAGCCACATGCAGAAGAACGAAGCTGAACCACCATCCCCGACCAAACCCAAACGCTGACTCTAAATGGATGGAAAACTTGAACCTGAGACCTGGAACGGTGAAACTCCGAGGAGAGAACACGGGGGGTGAGCTGCTTGACATCGGTCTCGGTGATGGTTTTTTCGGATTTGACACCAAAAGCAGAGACGACGAAAGCAGAAATAAAGTGGGACCACATCAAACTAAAAGGCTTCTGCACAGCAAAGGAAACCGTCAACAAACGAAAAGACGACCCCGCAGAACGGGAGAAAATATCTGCAAATCATGTATCTGATAAGGAGTTAGTGTCCAAAATGGATAAAGAATTCATGCAACTCAACAGGAAAAAAAATCTAATTAAAAAACGGGCAGAGAATCTGAACAGACATTTTCCCAAAGACATCCGAGTGGCCAACAGACACGTGAAAGGGGGCTCGACACCACCGCCTGTCAGGGAGATGCCCACGGGAGCCACAGGGAGATGCCTCCCCGCCCTGTCGGAGCGGCCGTCACACAGACGCCAACTGCCAGGCGCCGCGAGGCCGCGAGAGCGGGCGCCCTCCCGCACCGGCGCCGGGGCCGTGAGCCGGTGCGGGGGCGGAGAGCGGCAGAGACCCAGCACCCCCACCCCCGGGTGCTCATCCAGAGAAAGGGAAAGCGCTAAGGGAAAGACGTCTGCGGCCCACACTCGCTGCAGCGTGATGGGCAACGCCAAGCCGGGGAAGCAGCCGAGTGTCCGTGGACGGACGGACGGACGGACGGACGGAGAACGTGGTACACACACAATGAATGTTGTTTAGCCATGAAAAGGCTGAAACCTTGTCATTTGGGACAACGTGGATGGACCACTAGGAAATTATGCTAAGTGAGATAAGTCAGAGGAAGACAAGCACCATATGATCTCTTGGACAGAAAATTAATTTTTAAAAAATGTTTAATGAAAAAAGTAAATTTTTAAAAAAAGGAACAAGCTCATCAATACGGAGAACAGACTGGTGGCTGCCAGAGATGGGGGGTGAGGGGCAGGAGAAATGGGTGAACTGTATTTTTTAAGTTTAAATAAACTGAATTTAAAAATGAAATAAAGCAAATGACTTTTTTAAAAGCTAAGACAAATTACTTCAATTTACACCATTTTCTTGGAAACTGTCCAAATATTCTTGAAAACATTAAGCACCCACAAAGACCATTGTTTGTATACAAAAATTTAACTGTGCCTACTAACTTCGACTAATACCATGGAGTTCCTGCATCTTAAAACACTCCGGATCCCTCGGCTCCTGCCAGGAGGAGCCCGCGGCCCACGCAGAGCCACACTCCACGCAGAGCCACACTCCACGCAGAGCCACACTCCACGAGCTGAACTCCCGCTCACCTGGCCCCGCCCAGGGCCCACCGAGACCTCTCTCTTCCCGCAGACGAGGGCGGCTCCGAGCTTTCGACGCGCGTCCACTCAGCCACCTGGATTCGGTCTCGCCAGTGTGGGCTCCACGCACGCCCCGCAGCGTAGCGCCGGCGAGGCCCAGGCCCGCGGGTGCCCGCGGGGCGCCCCAGCACTCCGCCATCCCGGAACAGGGCCTTGCCCCGGCGGCGGCATCACAGTAGCTCTGGCCACGCGGAGGTTCCGTAGTGACTTATAAGCAGCAGGACAGGCTGCAGGGCAACAACCCTGACCCCCGGTGTCACTGTTGTCCCACGGAGTGGGTCACTGACGCGCCTTTCACTCCCTTAGTCACGCGCTCACTGACAAAACCGGAGCTTCCTAACTCCACCCCCTGGCCTCTTGCCATCCCTGCGTCGCTGACTGTCGTTAAGCCCAGGGTAAAGCTGTTGCAATGGCTGCTGAGTAACCTCCACCGACTCCCCCATAACTGCCATTCGACGTGCACTCAGGGAGCTGAGTGTTTCTTGGATCGGTTTACGGAAATCAGAGCCATAAACAAGTGACGGCAGATGCCCAAACCAAGTACTCCAGCATTCAATTTAAAGGTCGTGACTGTGGCGTGAGCCACCGGGGCGTCTGGCTAATGTTTAGGGACAGAGCCCTACGGACCTGCGCTCCATCCAAGCTCTGCCCCGCCTGAGCCGACTGCCCCGGGGCGGCTCCTACACTGGGGAACTGGGCCGGTGGGAGCGCCACTGACCAGGCCCCACAGGACAAAGGAGGGCGGGCGGGTGACTCAGCACAGGAGCCGCACAGAGGCTGGTGAGGACGGAGTAGGAATGTAAACTTACAGCCCTTCATTGTTACGTTTCCTTAATAGGTTCTCACATTTTTACCCACCTAAAAGAGATACACCCGCTAATGCCTAAGCATAATGTCTTCAAAAGCCATCAGAAGTGCAAGACCCACTGAAGCCACATTTACAGCCTGGGTCGTCCGATGAGTGCGACATACAGTGAAGCTGGCCGCCCTGACTCGACCAGATTCAATGGAGGCCTCATGCCACGATTTTAAACAATTCACCGTCTTGCCTCTGAAATAAAATTCCATTACTGGCCGTCAGTCCACTGCCCACCACAGGCGTGACAAGGTTACAGCAGAGTGCCCCACTAAAGGATCCTGCAGGTGAACAGGGACAAGCAGCTGTGAGCAGACGCAGAGGCGGGCTTTGGGGGAGATGTTTTCTCAGAGGCGCTGCAAGTGTACTAAGATGCCCAGAGGGGGCCAGTGCAGACACACACGAGACTCCAGGGCGACAGGGAGCAGGGGCCCTCGGTCGTCATGACCGCGGCTCAGCGGCAACGACAGCACGGGGCGCTGTGCCACCGTGAGCCTTGCTGCCTCCAGGGAGATGCATCCGTGTGCAGCAGGCCGGTGGCCCCACTCAGGGCCGTCTTGGCCATCACTCACCCCACAGCCCAGAGAGGAGCGAGAGGCTCGGGCTCGGGAGGACACGGTGGCCCTCACCGTCATCAGGATGCGTCTCCCACCTGACTCCAAACTGCTGTCTCATCAACCCTCCCTCGTTCCTCCCTCCATCTCCCTTCCCTTAACAGATCATGATATGGATTCAGAACACTTTAAAATTAATCTTCAGTTCCTTCTATAAAATGTGAGCATTGAGTAAAATTATAGGATAAAATAAAAAGACATAAAGTTTAAAAAAGGATCAAATAAAATAACGCATGTAAGGCCGTGGCTGGCACATGACAAAACCTGTCTTCAAATTACCTTTAATTTTATGGAATAAAGTTACAGAGCCTATGCTTTATTGAAAAAGCAAACGTATTTGTTTCTTTTGAGTTAGCAGTCCCTGAGATGAAAGAGTCCTTCACCCTCGGCCTAAATAAAAGGCAAAGTCACCAGCAGCTGGAACAGCTCCAACTCAGCCGATGGGTTAGAACCAGCTCCGGTCACTCTCAGACGCCTGTCAGGACACTAACAGCAAAGTGCAAACTAGCTCTACTGCAAACCAAACACAACGCTAAGCATTCCCCAAATGCTGCGTGCTGTCTCCTTCTCCGCCTCTGCTCATTAAAGTCCACACTGACGTTAGAGCCTTCTCCTTTGAGTGCCCGCCACCTCCACCTGCCCGCGCCTGACTCAAGGGAGATCTGATTGCATTCGAAATCCAGACAGCATGGAAAGAGTAGATGAAAAAATGGATTGAAAACGTTTTTCAGTGGCATCGGAAAATCTCGGGAAGACTACGAAGTTAGCATATTGCAAACTGATGTGTGACAGAGAGGGCCCCTGTCCAGGTCACTGTCCTCATTTTCCTCCTCCCTGCCTTTCCCTCAAGCACTGTGAGTGGTGTGACCTTGACCTTGTCACAGGCCAAGTTCCTGGTGAGTGAGTGCCCTGGGCTGAGGCTGACAGGTACCAAACACTGCCCCAGGCTGCCCTAGAGCTGTCTTCATATCAGGCCCCAGGGCGAGGCCCCAGGCAGAACTCTCCCAAGCTGATAGCCCGGCAGATTAGCCGGAGGGAGGGAGGGAGGTGAGCAGAGAGCCCCCACAGGAGCCTGCCCTGCTCTGGCCTGTAAGAGCGTGCTGTGTTAGGGTGGACGGCTTTCGATTTTGAGCTGCCTGTCCTAACAGGGAAAAAGCACGCACCTTAGGAGATGGTGGGCCAATGGAAAAGAAAGCATTATTGGTATAAGCCACCCCGAGAATCTCCTGATGTCTCGTTTTCACTAGTGTAAACATGTAAACTAGCAAGCGCAGGCAGGAGAGGTCCTCCGTTTAGGCCGCAAACTCTGCTTACAGACCTAAGGAATTAAGTGTCTTTACAAACACACAGGTCCTAGGAGGGCTTTAAAATTAGAGTTAAGATTCTTCTTAAATTACTCTAGGCTTCTCCTTTAATCCCCTTCATCTTCTGTAATGCATTCGATATCATTTACACCACGTGGTAAAGATGAAAATACGAAGCTCAGTTTTTGGTCAAAAGTGGAAGTTCGTCCTCCCTCCACATCTAACTCGAATCTTTCCTATTTAGAGTGTCTGTACTATCTAGTGACAATCTAGAAAACATGTCTGAAAAATCGCAAAAATTACAAGTCACACGGTGTTGAAAACAGAGCTTCAAGCAAATGGCTAAACCAAAGGAGAATAAAACTGTAAGGTTCTGAATAAAATCAGCACACGCCACTGTCCGAGGACACGCCGTCAGCCCTGAAGAACACCTGGAAAATGGTGGCAGCACTTCCTTCCCCGCCCCACAAACCACAAGTGTCGCCATCCAGTAGTATTTTTATCAGACAACGAGAAGGCAATGGGAACTCGCTCCAGAGGCCCTGTTTGTAAAGGCTGGCCTTAGGAACCGGACTGTCTGTCGGCCGACTCGGTCGCTGATGAAGTGGGGTGAGACTGGACTCGAGCCCAAGACGAAACTGGCCGGCGGAGCTCTTCAGGAACCCCCGGCCGCCAAGCAACCTGCCCGTCTCTCCCCCCACCCCTTCAAATGGCACTCCACCCCTGAACGGACCACCAGGACCTGCGACTCTTATCTGCAACACAGAGAACAGCAACCTAAGGAGACCGTGACAGACAGGACCTTCCTCCCAGCTCTGGGCACAGCTCCAGACACCGCCATCTGCCACAAGTGCTGTCGGGAGGGGCGTTCTAAGCTGCCGGCACAGGGTCCCTCCTGCACGGCAGCACGGGCCTCGCTGGCCGGGCGGGCGGTCCCGCAAGGACCTTCCAGAGAGGGGGACACAGACACAGTGGACGGACCACACGCGTGCACACGCACACGCGTGCACACGCACACGCGCCTGTTCCGACCCCACCCTCGTCCTTCTAAGGGCGACTGCGCTGCACGGTGTCTCAGTATCACATCATTGTAAAGAAAAGTATTTTTTCAGACTAAAATTCCAAGGTGCCCCTTTAAAAATGAGTACTAAATCCTAACATAATTACTCTGCTTAGAATCTTACTTCTGTTAAAACCAAATAATGTAGAGACTAAAAACATCAGTTATTTTTGCCTATAAATTAAAAAATCGTAAACTGAGTTAGAAATGATGTTTCCCAAAGACCGTGTTCAGTGTAATCACTTCTAGAACATGATGAACAGGAATTGGCATCACGTCTCTGTTCTCGTTTTAAAGAAGCAAAGCTACGTCTATGAAAAACTATGATTTATATTGTCAGAATCTATAAAAATCGACTGATTATTTAAAACGGTAAATCAGAAATAAATGACCATAACCTAAAAATATTTGAAAGGGCTTTATAGGATGCTACTATATTATATGCATACCTGAATGTTTTTACAACATCCAGAAAAATACTAAATTTATGGTAAATTACAGAGAATGGAACTTCTACTTTTCAGTTACCCCTCTTTCTTGTTTGAAATTTTTTTTAAAGAGCCAGTATTGGTTGTAAAAACAAATAACCCAACAACTATTTTTTTCAAAAAGAAAAAACTGGTCTTCATTTGCGAAGCAGCTGGGGCAGCCGGACTCCGGGTCAGCTGAGGCCCCCGCACCTGCCTACACGCCGGGCGCTGTCCCTGGAGACTGCCCAGGGCCTAACCCTGCCCGGCTGTTGGCACACCCACCGTTACTACCCCAACCTGCACACGGGGAAAGCAGTGTTGTAACCGTAACAAAATAAATTCCCAAACCAACAAAACAGCAGAATAAAACTCCAAAAACACACGTTGGTCATGACGAGCAGCAACTCTACACTGAAAGGCAGCTCCGAGCCGAGCCGCCGGGCTCGCCTTCCCCAAATGCTGACATGACAGGAGAGGCGGGGGCTGGGCACGCGGGTTTAGCTAAGAGAGGCGCTGTGTCAGGGACCCCGCGACCGCCACGTGAAGACACGCTGTCGCATGCCCGCACGCCCCATGACCGCTGCTCCAGACCCCTGCTCCTGACCCCCGCTCCTGACCGGGCTGGCCATCCCGCCGCTTCCGCAGAAGTCCGAGCCCGTATGTTGCGCAGGCTCCGGCAGGGGGCGTCCTGTGCGGGGCGCAGACACGGTGGGGGCTGCCGCATCCTGGTCCAGCCCAGAGCGGGGCTGCCCACGACCCCCAGCACCGGGGGCGGCTCGCAGTCTGAACCCGGCCCCGCGGAGGACTGTGCCCTCGCACTGAGCTCTTGGACTCTGCGGCCCATGACAGGCCAGGACCGCTCAGCAGTCCCTTCTCCTGCTGCGGGACATAGCCGCAGAGGATCCCGGGTCCCGGGGACAGCCCCCATTGGTCACTAGGCTGGCGGCCCTGTCGGTCCGTCCCTGACTCTCGGTCCTGCTGAGGAAGGCCTGCCCTAACCCAGGAACCCACAGATGCATGAGCGGTCTGTGACAGGTCTGTCACTCTCAGCAGCCAGCTGACTTCACTAGTCCAGCGGCAGCCCCTCCGCAGAGGGCGAGGCGGGCCCCGATCCTACCGCCTGTCCAGCATCTCAGCCTGGATCACCCACAAGCAACGTGCCCCTCCCTGAGACCA